TGCTACGTTGTACCTGTTTGAACTCCTCAGCACGTTTGATCCAGTTAGGTCGTGATCAACGCGAGCACATCTCCCAGCGTACCAGCCGTTGTATTTTGAGCACCTCGGCTGCCGGGCGCTCGCACCGCCATCCCGTCAAACCGGCGGGTCATGCGTGCACAACGGCCGCCGTGTGCACGTGCAGTCGGCCGGCACTTCCTGCAGCGAAAGCGGCGAGACGGCGTGCCAGCGCCGGCCTGATGCGGACCACTGCCCCGCCTGCAGCTGCGGCCGTCTTCTAGAAACTCTTGCTTTCTTCGCGTGCAAGCCTTCCACTGGGCTCACTGGGCAGCAGCGAGGGGACCGCGCGGGAGAGCACAGCGCGGCTTTGCATGCAGCGCTGGCGCCATCTCGCTGAAGTCAGGTGGCCAGGACGCGGCTAAACGTGTGAGCCGCGTCACGCCGCGTCTAGTTATGGTCTGTTTCGGAAGCTGTTGGCTCGTTCGGGGCGCACAAACAACTTCAGCTCATGGTGGCAAGAGCCGCTTTCGCTTACCTTTACCCCGCTCTAGCTGTAGCAATGCTGGGTAACTGGTCTTCATTAGCGTGAGCATAAAAAGGGCAATTTTACGACACGCCGCGGAATGAAACCCGCTTAAGCGCCCTTAAGCGCAATGCAAGGCTTCACGGTCCAGGCATGCCGCCTAAATGAGGTCCTTCCTAATGGTTCCGCTGTCCTTGCCGATCGCCGGCAGAGTGCGGCGCTGTATAATGACAGGATATGATGGCTAGCCAGGCAGCGCGACTGGTGAGAAGCCGGAAGCCGTACTGCACCGACGGCGCGTGCGACGACCTGCATGTCACGGGCCGCGCTTCCGGCCTGGCGGGAAGCACGGCGCCGCTCCTGTGTCTGACTGGGCGGGGGGCAGGGGCAGACCGGTGAGAGGACATCGGCAGGGGGCGGACAGGTGAGAGGACATCGGCAGGGGGCAGACCGGTGAGAGGACAGCGGCAGGGGGCAGACCGGTGAGAGGACATCGGCAGAGGGCAGACCGGTGAGAGGACAGCGGCAGGGGGCAGACCGGTGAGAGGACATCGGCAGAGGGCAGACCGATGAGAGGACATCGGCAGGGGGCGGACAGGTGAGAGGACAGCGGCAGGGGTAGACCGGTGAGAGGACAGCGGCAGGGGGCGTATTTATGAGAGTACATCGGCAGGGCGCAGACCGGTGAGAGGACAGCGGTAGGGGGCGGACAGGTGAGAGGACATAGGCAGGGCGAAGACCGGTGAGAGGACAGCGGCAGGGGCGGACCGGTGAGAGGACAGCGGCAGAGGCGGACTGGTGAGAAGACATCGGCAGGGGGCGGACAGGTGAGAGGACATCAGCAGGGCGCAGACCGACGAGAGGGCGTGGACAAGGCGCAGACAGGTAAGAAGACATGGACAGGACGCGGACCGGTGAGAGGACAGCGGCAGGGGCGGACCGGTGAGAGGACAGCGGCAGAGGCGGACTGGTGAGAAGACATCGGCAGGCTGCATATCGGTGAGAGGACATCAGCGGGGCGCAGACCGACGAGAGGGCTTGGACAGGGCGCAGACAGGTAAGAAGACACGGACAGGACGCGGACCGGTGAGAGGACATCGGCAGGGGGCAGGACCGCGGTGAATGATGGGCGTAGCACGGGGTATGGTGGGCGGGCTGACCATAAGTTACGGATTAAACACAGCCACAGCAGGCGGGGGTGAGGCATGACAACAGCAAGGGCATTACGCCGAGTTTAATCAAGCTCGATCACGATTCGCGACACTGAAATGAATAACAAGGCAGGACCTCGCAGGGCTCTAAGAATTAGGTTAACCGCGGTCCTAATAAGGCCGATTAGAATCGCTAATGCCTGTGACGGGGGTAACCACACTGGAATTCGATCGGATTCAGCCAAGTTCACAGGAGGAACCGTTCCATGAAGCGATGGCTCAGAGGCAAAAAAAAAAAGCGTTTATCTGTTAACGCACTGTCGGCGCTGCTGATAGCAGCAGGTCGCTCGGCGCACCGTGCGGTGGCCGCTGCCGCTGCTCTCCGCGTGCCCGCCGGCTGGTCTGTGATGGATGGCGCTCCGGGGCGCCTGTGGGCCACCCTCTGCGCGTGTCGCCCCTGACACATGAACTTCACCGACCGGCGCAGTCGGCAACAGTGAACTATTAGTACCACTTTCGGCTTCGCTGAATAATCGCTCCGCGCCGGGGGGCCAGTCTTGATTTCCAATGGCGTGGTTCTTTAGGTGTTTGTTGCGGTGGCTGGATTACGTGGTGGGAACGTCCAGAGCTGTATCTCGGGGCGATGTGCCCATGCACGCGCGCACCACCCCAGTTCCACCCCGAACACCCGTTTAAATGCTCACTGAAGGTCGCCACGACTGAACAAGTAAACAAAGCTAGTGACGAACGGAACGGCTAATAAAACATCGGGCTTGGGTTGCGATGTGCACATCGACAGGGTCGTCAAAGGACGCACGAGTAGTGATGGACGCCTGTAGCATTATACTTGAATATATATATATATATATATATATATATATATATATATATATATATATATATATATATATATGCTGCGGTACGATGTTTTCCAACCATTAAGAAGCTATTACGGATGCCGTGCATACATATGAAATGTCGCGATGTCAATATGCAGCGATCATTCTGGAACTACAAAATATACACTCCGAAACTTAGACGCATCGCATAACTTCACCTGCAGCATCGTTGACTTGGAATGACCCCGACGTCATCAATGACACGTGCCAGTGATGTTTGATAATGGCCAAGCGGTACGGACGTAATTTGAGGCGAACTTCAAGACTTTACCAGGTCTCGCTTTGACCTCGAAGATTCCTAGTGAATGTCGGTGCGTTAATGACAAATATTTCGTAAGTACAAACGTACAAACCCGGAAAACGATGCTATAGCTCAGTGGTCTAGCTTGGTAAGTAATTGACCCTTTCAGATAAAATGCAAAATGTCCAAAAATTCACATGTCACCTCTAAAGACGCATGCACGATGTTCGTAAGGAGGGAACACCGCCCGCTTATGAGTGGTAAAACCACAATCTTGAACACAAAGGCATGGAAAACATCCAAGATTTTACCGGAGAAATTAACTGGTCATTGCATTTCAGTTCAGTTCAATTATACATATGCAACTAAGCAGTAAAACTCAGAGGCCAATTTCCGATCGCGCTCGTGCATGCTTTATTAGAAACTTCATTACCCTGGCCAGACGCTGTGTATATTATAAAACACGCCAACTACAACAGCTACATTTGAGGTCTTGCTTGCTTCACTGCCGATAAATATCCTTACCACGTGGCCTACTTAAACGGAGCACATGATCTAGACCTTAAAAGTGGACGCTCTATATACGCAACACGTACACAATCAAACGCAGCTGTTCCCAGATGCTCCCGCGAAATAAAACTACAGTGCTGGCATGGCGCGGTGGTGCATGAAAGTGATAACAAGTTATCTAGCGGATTGCAGGAATGAACCGTGACTCGGCGTCACGTCCAACAAGATCATCGGAGAGCCTACTCGTGACATGGATGCAGAAACCAATGTGATTTGCTATCACGCGTCACAATCTAAACCACCGACTTCGAGAATCCCACGGATCAGACAGGCCCACCAGTGCGGCGCGCCTGCGCATGGGAGTTTATTGAAGTGGTTGCAACACCCCGCCGCAGCACATGATCCAGACAAGCACGCGATTGCGTGCTTGTTGTGGTGCTTGCAATACCGCGCTGGTTACAGCGCCGGTGCCACATTAGGCCATGGCGTGGGAATCTTCAGTGCCCACGATTGCTTCTTGCGCTCAAAAACCAGCGCCGCAAAAAGGGGCCTGCCGTGAAACCAATCAGACCATCGCTACCGGCTTTCTACAGAGCGGGCCCCGGAAAAGCCAGAGTGGTCCCTTTGGATACTTCCAAATCGCGTTTTTACGCTGGGTTAATGCGATAATGCGCCGATTGCACGCTTGCGACCATTAGTCTTCTGATCTTGACCAAACACGTCAACGGAAGCGGGGCCAGGTGGCGGACCACGTCCACTTCCATGTGCAACTGGTATATTACCTGGGCATCTATATCACCTTGCTTCCATAACGAGGAGTCCAATGTTGTGCCAACTCCGGAACCCGGCTGCCATTTTTAGAAGGATCCACGCTGTTCCAGTGCCTTGTTGACACGCATGGCGTTGGCTGGCGAGAGCGGTCCTGGTCGCGTCTGTCGGCAGCTTTTTCCCCTGATGCCGTCGCCGGGCCGGGCCGCCGGCCGCCTACTGAGGGTGGGAAGCGCCGCTGCGCTAGGGCCAGATGGCTCGCGCCGGCCAAACTGTCGCTCGACAGATTTGGAAGCTGGCGTGCCGGCCGCCAGACACCCGACAAGAAAGAGGCCGGCGGCAAATATTTGGCAAATCTTAATTTGGCGGCTGATGAGGATGAGGATGAGGATGAGGACTGCATGGCTTTTGACCGACAGCATAACGTTGTACGGTCGTTAGTTGTAAAGTGCGCGATGGTTAAAAATTCAGGGCTGTGCTGGCTCTTATGGTGCGCCCGTGGTCGCGAACATAACGCCCGTCGGATGGTTAGAAAGCGGACTCCGCTGGGAAAAGCGTATACGTCGAACCCGATCAGGACTTGTGTGAAAACGGCCGTGGACAGTCGTGCGGTGGACGAACGGAGTCGGGACAGCGTTCAGCCGCGTGTCTCTGACCGGCCGGGTCACGTTAGTGCTCAGGTCACGTCGCGACCGCAGGCGCGCACCTCGGCCGTCCGTCGGGACCTGGCCGCGGCAGGGGCGCGGGCGCGACCTCGAGACGGCGGGTCGACCGGCCGCGGGCGCCGACCGGCCGGGTTACGGCGCTAGGTGTGGCCGGCTGGCCCGGTCGTCAGCCTTGGCCGGCCGCCGGCGGTGAGCGGTCAGCCCAGCCGCGCCGCCAGCGCCGCTCGTCGCAGTGTGCGCCCCCGCAGCACGGCGAGCGGAGCGCGCCGCTGCAGAGCCGGTGAGCGGCGAAGGCCTGCGGCGTACGGCGGGACAGTGACTGGTGGTGGCGCTGAGCGGCAGCAGCAGTGACTGGTCCGAGAGCGTCCACGTCTTGGGCCGTGACGACGACCTGACCTGGTGTCCGTGCGTGACCCAGCCGTGACCGGTGACCCGGTCACGAGCGCGCCCGTCCGAGGGCCTGTGTAACCTGAGGAGCTGGACGCTCCTCGCAGCTGGCGCCGCAGCCATGGCGTACAGAAACCCGCGCCCCCATCCGCCGTATGAAGAGATAGAGGACCCGTACTCGGGACGTCCTCGCGGCGGACAGAGAGGGTCAGAGGCGCGTGAGGATAAAACTTACGACTTCCTGCCCATACACCGTCCGGGAAACTCCAAGAGGTCAGTTGAGTCGTCCGCGTAACCCCTCTCCGTTGGCAAGTGGCTGCTGACGAGTTGTGAATTGTCGAGTTACTGATTCCTACCTTGTGTTTGACGTGTTCTGTTGGCGCTTTGGGCACGCTGCGTACTGTTCCCGTGGTCCGAATTCGTTTGAGATGAACTGGTGGCCCATTTAGTGATCTCGTTGCGCGGCGTATCTTCCAGGTTGTGCGGTAATTTGCATACAGTGACGCAGCTTGAAATCATGGGCGTACACCGAAACAACTGGCAAATTTTGCGCAAGGTCTGGACCTGCCCTGTCGCGAACGAATGGCACCTTCACATGCCAGCCAGCAGCCGCCTTTTTGCCTCCACGTCATGCACGCTACAGCTTTCTCGCATGAATACGGAATAGCATAAGTTGCACAACGCCGCTCGATGAGGATGAAGACGGCAACGCCCCTCGTCCTGCTAGGACAGAGACGGAGCTCTAATGCCATTTCACTTTCCTCTGGCCTGCATTCTGTCCGCTGTTCGTCAGAACACGGCTGCCGTAAATGACGCCTCTCGACTCTCTCGAGGCGGCTCAGGCAGCCTCCGAGCAGAGCGCCGGCTCGCCCACACCGCGCCGACACCGACCGCGATCTCTCCAGCCGCCGGGAAACATCTGTCGCCGGCTCGAGTCGGCCGCCGCGCGCGCGAGGCGGGCGGAGGCGATCGCCGGGCGCCTCGCCTCGCCTCGCTGCGCCTCGCCGGGCGCCTCGCCTCGCCGGCCGCCGAGCCTCGCTGGAGCTGTCGAGAGGCGGCGTGTCTGAGGACGAGATGCTCGACGGCGCGACGCCGCGTACCGATGATCCGTTCGATTGTCGCGTCCCGGCGGGGGGGGGGGGAGGGGAGGGATCTCGAGGTCCCTCCGAAGCGAGTTTCGCCACACCGGCGCGGACGAACCAGGGTCTACCGCCGCCCGCCCCACCGCAATTGGGTCAATGCCTTAATCAGCTGAGGTCAATGGCTCTCCAGCAGCATTAGAGGGTGAAAACGATGCCTAACTGTCGAAATTGCCCTCGAATTCGGTGTGTGGATGTCTTTTGAGCCGTCGTGACCCTGAGGCCCCTCGTTGTCACCGCGACCGCTTAAATGCTTCCGCTGGTGTGGCTATCACAATCGAGGTTGTCACTTCGGTGATGACTTTGTTTGGCCAGAAGGGTTACTAACGCTAAATTCAGAACCAATCTTGTATTACAGGTTGACTGAATCATTAACACGTCGGTACCATTTTAACTTGACAATTCGCTATTCCTCTGACCTCATTTTCTTCGGAGCGGCCTATTTCGTGTAAGCCCTTTCAACTTTTGATTCCAAAGACCCTATAGGGCACAAAACGCCGACCCTTTTTGCGAACCAACGCATATGTGCCCTAATCCGCGATCCAACCCAAAACCGCAAGACTAGGACTGGCACGGCACGTTTGGAGGCGAAACGAGCTGATGGCGAAGTCCGCTTCGCACACGCGCACTGGGTTCGCTGCCACTCTCCAGCTCTCGGCCAGCACAATATCGAAGACAATGCGCGTCTCATTCATTGTTCTGCCGGCGGTCCGACCTGGCCCACGCGCGGAGGCAACCGCCGGGAGACAGCCGATGAGCTCTGGTTGCGCTGGCGGAGACATGGGAGACGTGCCGACCGCGCTGGCGAAGACGTGGGAGACGCGCCGACCGCGCTGGCGGAGACATGGGAGATGTGCCGACCGCGCAGGCGGATACATGGGAGACGCGCCGACCGCGCAGGCGGATACATGGGAGACGCGCCGACCGCGCTGGCGGAGACATGGGAGACGCGCCGACCGCGCTGGCGGAGACATGGGAGACGCACCGACCGCGCAGGCGGATACATGGGAGACGCGCCGACCGCGCTGGCGGAGACATGGGAGACGCGCCGACCGCGCTGGCGGAAACATGGGAGACGTGCCGGCCGCGTTGGCAAACGTGAGGGGGGACACGCGCCGACCGCACCGGGGAGCCAGGAGAGACTCGCTGGCTGTGCGGGCGAGGATATGAGAGAAGTTCTGGTGGCTCTGGTGAGACGTGGGCACTAGCTGTGCCGGGGAACACGCAATACCCTCCAGGTGTGCGGGTGGGGAAGTGAGCGGTACCCTGCTTGTGCCGCGCGGACCGTGAAGGCCTAGTACCAGGCAAACACGTGGGAGGATGCTGTATTACCTTGCGGCTCGCATTGCAGTGATTTTAAATATATTAGAGTAATATAGTCTAACACCGTGAGTTATGTTTGAAATTTCTGAAAACCGTAATATGACATGTAATACGCCATTGATGCCTTCATAGTGCAGCGTTATAGTTCCAATACCTTATCTGAGATCATGGAATGTAATGCGCATTATTGAGGTGCTGATTGCAACATGCATGCAATGCTCTGCGCTGCGCCTTGCACTGTGGAGCTGGCAATTCTTGCATACTTAAGCACGTTGCATTATTCAGGAGGGTAGCGTCAGATAAAGCTGCCTCGTCATCTTGACCATGAAGTTAGATAGCAAGCGATGGTGGCCGCCGTCACTGTTTTTTTTTGTGTGGATCATTTGAGTAAATTTGGGCTCACAAGGACCAACGGGCACAGCAAAAGCCATCGCTTGTTGTAATCAACCATCCTCTATTCTGAAGTGAAAGAAACTGCCGCACATAACGGTTAAGAAAACGAACAATCAGTGTGCTCGACCTTACATGCTCACGATTATAGCTTGCTTCTTGCTGGCAATAGGCTTCATATTGTTTTTTAAGCAGCTTTCCAGCCAGATCGAGCACAACAAAAGTAAGCAGTAACGTCGTGTGGATTTCATAATTTGCGTCCTCCATTTGTCAAAGTTGTTGTGTCATTCGTCACAAGGTTAGCAGTTTGCTTACGGCTTTATTGCTTGCATGTTAAAAACGAGACTAATATGTAAGCTTAATGCCGATAATCGTCTCCATTGTCCAACCTTCTGTCTTGCAAGGAAAGGTCGATGACGAATGCACAAGGTTTTTACAAAAGTATGCAAGTCTTTGTGGCATTTGGCTAATTTTGTATCCTGTATTTTTGTTTTTCAAAGGTGCTTTAATTCTTCCCGTTGCCAGTGTTGAAGGCAATTCATTATAATGTTGCAGCTAATAACGTTGTTGGTATAGCTCTTAGCCCATCGTTTTTAAATCATGTTTCTGTGATGCAGTAGGGCTTTCATATGTTTAATTTTGTCTCCGAAAAGTACACGCTGTGGTTACCACATAATGCTTCAAAATACCACCGAAATACATTTCCAAGTCCTCCTACATCTAGTTCAAGGTATGTCGCAAGTAGATATAACTATATGCTAGAGAAGTGTTTTAACACGTCAACAGTTCCTTCGTTGACAGTAGTTTTCAAAATATTTTCAAGACACCTTCAGAATACTAGAAATCCTGGTGTGAAATAAATTGACTTCGTTTGAAAAGTCTGTGTGGGTTTTATGGCCGTCTAATGTCTACCTACTTGTGTGCCTGTTCGCGCACATCCCTTGTGTTTAATCCCTCGTCTGTTTGGGGAACTTGCCATAACTGAGCTGCATAACGGTTACAGCATTCAGCATTCACCTCAATATGCACTGATGCATATGGCATAGGATGGCCGGATGTCACTTAAAATATACTGATCTGCCAAGAAAAGACAAACTATGGAGTTGATATATTGCATAGATAAAGAGACAATGGCAAATAATGCTGATACCTAAACTGATCATACAGTATTTCTGGGCCCGTTTATACATCTCTACACGCAATGGGGGGGGGGGGGGGAGGGTCTTGGTCAAGCGTAACCGAAGCGTAGCACGCGAACAAGACTCGGATAGCTTCATGACGAAATTGTAACAAACATTTTAACAAGTTTGCTGGGAGGAGGTAGCTTTCTCTCATCCTTAGCAGTGAGCAGGAAAGGAGCCCGGTTGAAAAAAGTGCCAAAAATGCGTAACGTAAGTTATGCACAGGCCCAAGCGTATCAAAACCGATCGATGCAGAACAATGCCTGGGTATTTGGGTCAGGCTGATATGAACTCAAAGTTAAATGCGCTTTGTAGACACTGCGCGTGGCAACGGTCTCTGCGCTGACGACGAGGGAGGTCGACCCACCACAGGAATGACGGCATTGAACCTCCGCTGTGCATGTTATCTTGGTCCCGCTCGGTGATGAGTTCGCGGGGGGGGGGGGGGGGGGGAGCGAGAACGGTCCGCTGTTCTGTGTCAGCAGGACCGTTCCGCGCGCGACAGCTTTTGCGCTAGGTTTGTCCCACGGGCAGGGGCGAACCGTTCCGCCTGAGCGGAGCCGCCCTCCAGCCCGCGTCGTGCTGGCAGCGCGCAGGCTGGCCGGTTAGCCTTCGGTCCGAACAGTTATCGACAGCGTTAACTGGCCGGGCGACCTTGGACCGGTATTTTTACCGATGACGAAAATGATCCACGCCCGTTCCCCGCCCCTCCCCCCCCCCCCCCCCCCGTCTGCATGCCGGCGTCTCTCAGGCCGCGCCGCGCCGCACGTGATGAGGCCATGCCAACTGGAACAGGCTCAGTAGCGCCGAATGAAACCGAGGCGTGGAGCAAGGGGTCGTGGCGCCGAAGGCACACCAATTGGAGTTGTAAATGCTGCGTCAAGGGCTCCGGGTTATTGACTAATGATTAGACGCCACTTCGGGTCGGCTGATCACAAACCCAATCCTGCATGTCTCGCCGACATGTACACACCGCGTCGCAGACACTCGGGAAGGGGGGGGGGGGGGGGGCTTGCCCAGGGCCATCAAAGGGGTCGTGAGTAGTTGCAGCTGTAAATGCCTCTTTAAAGGGAGTGTTCCAAATTTGTATGGGATTTTTAACTGAAATAGCCAATCTTAAGAACAGTTCGATGCAGTTTACAGCCCTGCTCTTCTAAGGATCCAAAACTTTCTAGTTTCTGAGCTACAAGCCCAAGAAGATTTGCAGGCCATTTAAAGGCTACCCAAACATTCATACCACCATAACAACGTTGCTGAAATTCTACTTTTCCACTGGCCATGTGGAGTTCCGGGTCAATAAAAATATAATTGTTAACTCGTTCATATCTGTCGTGCATAAGAACGACTTCCAGATGCAATGGCCGTCAATTAGCTCCTACCCAATGTTGTGCAAGCTAAGCAATATGCTAACATGAACAACGTTTTGTGCTGCGCAATATAAGAAGTTGTACATTCCTCCTAGCTGTTACGGAAATAAGACTTGTAATCAAATACCTTAAGAACAGCGCTATACCTGAGCATGCAAATTCGCGTAAAAATCTTAAACTCACTCATAAATAAGCACAAACGTCCCGAAAAGGGCCGGCACACGAGCATCTTATATTTGGTTTAGCACACACTCAGCACCGCCGCGGGCCACCTCTCGGGTGATTGAAGCACGACAAGTGAATGGTATCATACAAACGATCCATGACCCAAACAGTGACATAATAAGGAGCGTATTTGCTAACTAGAGTGATTGTGTTGTCCAGGACAGCCTTTTTTATTTAAAAGTATATCAATAGTCATATGTTAACTTATTCCGTCATATCGGATATCTGCTTCAATATCCTCAAATTTAGAACACCCCCTCTAAAAGACGGAAGTGCCATTCTGTTCCATCTGAAATGGAATGACATCGGGAATAGAAATACAATGGAAAACCCGACCAGGCGTCGCCATCCAACAGAAATGCCTCCAGCGGGTGTTGGCGTCAGTTGGAGGGGACCTGTCGGCTCCGGGCAGCCAGCGCAGCCCCTTGTGACAGGGCGCGGTCCCTGGTGACGTCACAGGGCCGCCAGTCGCTGATTGGTCGCCGGCCTGAAAGTGGTTCTCAAGGCCTCACAATCAATCAGCGTGCCATTAATTGGCTCCAAATGATCAGTGGTCACCATGTGACTGAATGGAAGTGCCTTTGTTCAGCACGCCACGAGGACGTTGCAGTGCCCGCTGTGTTATTATGCTGAGATAGGTTTAGTCGGGAATGTAATTTAGCGTAATGGCAGGCGGCTCACCTACCATTATATAATGTTTCTATCAGATGATAGTATCTGCCTTTCTGAATAACAACAGGCTCGGCTAAAACGCTCTGTCAGCTGTGTTTGTGCGAGCTTGCACGGGTACGTTGAATGTGTTAGGATTGCAAACACTTCAAAATGTGATTTGTGTTCACAATTTTTTGTTACTTCCGCATGATGCGGCTTGTCGTCAACAACCTGCCTCAATGTCATGTTCTGGAACATTGTAAACCAGTTCAGCACATCTTATGTGGAAAGTTGTCACATGACACGCATGTCTTGTCCACGTGTCCTTTTCGTTTCAACGCATCAACTTGACAGAATACAGCTTGCTTCTACGTTCCCACAAGATCTTATCGACATGAGCGAGTGGCCCTTCAACGTCAAAACTCGCACGCGCCGCAAAGCTGCCGCGTCATGAAATGCCGTCCGCTCGTGCGCCCGTCAAGCACCAGCTATAATACAGCTACCACTCAAACAGCACTCACTACGTCTGCGCTCGTGGTTCCCTGCAGTGACGTAATGCATACCAGGCGAGAGTTCTCACCTGTCACGCCCTCGATCCACTTATCAAAGACATTCCGCGCTAAGCGGATCGTTATTAGTATCTGGCAACGCCACCAACCGGACATCTGGGTCAGTGTGGCCCAACCGCAGAGCGAGTGTTGCATACCTCGGGCTTGAAGGACACCCGTCCATTGTGGACTGGGTCTGCAGCTGGGCCGCTCGATTAGACAAAAACGGATACGCCACTGACAGCGAACGATTTCCCTGAAGCCTCGGCCCGTTGCGTGTTTCACGGTCGGCACGTGAATCATAGCAAAACTCGCTTGGAATGCTTGCGGATTGCTATCGCTCGCCGTTCCGCAGGCGGAAGTAACGTCACGGTCAGGCGACGGTGGCATCCGTTCAGTGCCTTCGCCAAGCTTTGAGCGGTCCGTACAAAAACGTTCATGGCATTCAATGCAAGCCAACGCTTCAACACTTCACGCCCGTTAGCGCTTGAGTCCGCTATATTCCAAACAGCCCTCAGTTAGTTGCGTCATGCCGCGTGCCATATTTGGGATTTTCAGTAAGCTAGCCTGCGCCGAAGCTGCGCGCGCGTGTGGTGTATTACTTCCCCCTTCATCAAACGACCGACGTCAGCTCTGGACAGCAGCCATCGGTTTGAGAGCGGCGCCGGGGGCGGCCTCTGGTGGCGCCGGTTTTTCAGCCCGGCTAGCTTGTTTAATGAACTGGAGCGGCGGCGGTGTCTTAGCCAGGACCGGCTGTACTTTCTCCGTGGCGTGACGCTGGGCCGGGTAAAAACTGGCCGCGCCGCTGCAGCCGCTCTCGTCAGCGGCTGGGGTCCGGCGCTGCCGCGTGGCAGGTTTGGGCGGCCTGTTGGCGCTGACCAGTCAGGGTGCGTGCTCTGCTGAGCGCTGGCCTTGGCTGGAAGCTGGACTAATTTGAGCCGCGGTGTTTTGCTGAACGGGTTAGCTGACATGCGACAAGACGAGCTTGATATCACGAATCGTTCGTGTTGTTTGGCGGTGAACCGACCTCACTCCCGTGGCGCGTTTCAAAAGGTGTACGATAAACAGCGTCGGCTAAGGGGCACGTGACCAGACGAGCTTTCCCTTTTAACCGGCGTAACAGTGGTATCGGCGCGTCGTGATTTGGCAACGGCTGGGTAGGGACATGACGTGACCGTTTTACAATAGTTTCCCTCCGACCAGCCATTTCCAAACGTTTACGGCAGCCTGCCTTTGTCTCCCTCGGCAGCCGCCGACATATGTCTCCCAGGCAAATCATGTTTCCTAATAGCTCCTGGGTCCAGCATTCTAGCCTCGGTTCTCACTTGAGTAGCTCATAACAGCGAGTCATCCCGACGCAACCTCGGCAGCCAACTCCTAAAGCCCAGAAATCGTAAGGAAGAATGTGGTGGTTACAACTATTTGAACCCCGGCGTCGCTCATTTAACAGCGGCGGCAAATGTGCTCACGCGGCACAGCCTGGCCAACAAGCGTCCCTCCCCCTTGAGCGACAGGCGAGACACGATGGCCGGCGCCATCTACACCCACTGCCACGTCGGCTAAGCCATACGGTCTTTTTCAGAAACGCATCCAACGAGATGGTGAGCCGTCGCCGCATCCTGAGTCGGTCGCGGGACGACCTGAACCTCGAAGCCGCCTATCAGGAGGAGGAGGACGACGTCTGGTACAAGAAGGATAAACTGCACAGTGTAAGTATGCACGTCATTTCCAGTAGCTCACGATATTTAGATGAGGGCTCGATTACGATGTAAACATGCAAGGCACGTGTCTTCAGTCTGTTACTGCTAGAGTAAGTACCGCATTGTCCTCACAGATATTGTGACAGTGTCCTATGTCCTATCCTATCCTGTGTCCTATGTCCTATCTGTATGTCCTCACAGATATGGTGACGGTGTGCTCCAAATGTTGTTTACGTTGGTTAAACATTTGAATGTCTATTATCAAGATGCTTATCCGAGTATCGGCTTGACTCCAAATATTCCAGCTATCGGTGTCGGTTTGACCTCTGATATTTCAGCCATCGGCGTCCGTTTGACTCCTGATATTCCAGCCATCAGCGTAGGTTTGACTCCTGATATTTCAACCACTGACGTCGGTTTCCAAAACGCCCGGTGTCGGGAACAGACTTGGATTATGCAGCTCATTGCGCCGCGCCACAATGCAGTACTGTCCCTGTCGGTCCGTCTGAAAGCTCAGAGCGAGTGAAGAGCGGACAGAGCTGATCGGCCTCGGACTGGCTCAGCCGATCCTAGCCGGCCTGGCTGCCTGCTTCCCTCGGCTGCCTTCGCTGGCTGCCTCCGCCGGCCGCCTCCGTCGACTCTAAGCTCGCGCCGAGGCCCTGGTGACGTCGCCAGCCCTGTCAGGCCAGTTTCGCCCGGGTCGCCAGCCGAACGCGCTCCGCCAGCGCCCCCCCCCCCCCCCCCCTCCTCTCCCTCCGGCGCCCATCCAGTGCGTGACTATGAGGGCGGGCGGTGGGAGTGAGAGGGAGGGGGACTGATGTGGGTGGCCCTCCAGGCTCCATTAGAGGCCGAATCAGCCTCATGGCCAGCCATGCTGCGCGCCGGTCACGAGATCAGCCAGCGGACGCTTGTGAAACCTGCGCCGCGCGCCGGGCGAATTGCGCTCGATGACCGGCGGTCGAGCGCGCTGCAGGTACACGCTCCGCCCCTCCTCCTGGACACCACGCGGCACGACGCAAAGGCGGGCGCGGCCCGACCCGGATCGGCCCGGCATCGGAGCCGCCATCTGCGCCGAGTGGGCCGCTCGGCCGAACAACGGCGCGGCGCGGCGCCGGTGGCGCAGTTTCACTTTCATCTGGGCGGCTTGCTGGCCGATTAACCTTGCGCTGCGGCGCGCCGGCGGCCAGGCGCGCGCTCGCGCTAACGGTGCGGACCGCGCGGCAGCTCTCGCCGCGCGTTCCGGGGATTTAATCGTGGAAAAGGCTGTCGACGAGTCAGCCGTAGCCGTTCACGATGCTGGTTGGACTTGCCGCGGCTGGCGATTGGTGCAATCCAGATCATAATATGCTTTATCGTCGGGGTTTGGGAGTATTGGCCTTAAAGGGAAAGGCATGTGCTGAGATGACTCATTTAAAACCCTGCGTTAAGTATCGCAAGCATTCGCCCCTGCTTTGCGCCCGCACGTTGGTACATTGAGGAATCGCCCTTTCACCAAAAGCAAAACTCATGGCACTCTGTTCGCAGTCAGAGAACTGGCACCTAAGACTGAATCCCTTCCATTAGCAGCCGGCGTGTCACATAACTGGCAATTTAGATGACATACAGCCTTGTCATTTACGTGGGCATTCACATTTCCCGTTCCCAGCAGCCCCTGTTCCTGCTAGGCTGGCATGACTCCGCGCTCCTTGATGTCCGAGCCGCGGGCGAGCTGTGCTGGTGATGGTGAACCGGAGGGGTTGACAACGCAACCGGCTGGAGCAATCCTACAGATGCCTATCATAGGTGTTGTAATGTGAGCCAGATGATCCCTTCACGTTCATCAAGAAACGCTGTACGCTCAGGCCCGCAGGCTGGCGAAGCGCTAAGCATTTGGGTTTCTTTCAATGGCAGGTGGGATTTCGCCGTCCATTTCGAGTCTTTCCTCGACTGCCGGCCATGCGACCGTTTTATCAAATCTTTGAGGTCCTGACTCTGACTGAACTGTCATAGTCAAGTTCCCGCAGAGGTCGGAACCGTCGCGTGTATTCAGGCGCATCATTTACCATCGCCGCCACCAGAGGCGGTCCAATCATCAAATTATTAATCATGACCCCCATCAAGATTTTGACGAACGGTCATCGTCATGAATGGGCCCACCTAATCGTTTGCATAGCAAGGTATGACCCAATGCAGTTCGAAGTTCATTACGACTGCGGGACACTGTTTGAAGGTCAGAGAGTGGAATCAATTTATCTTGGGACCCTGGAGATGATTGCGAGCAAATCGCTCGATGAACTTACGCGAGAAGGTCTAAAGGACCAATGCTACTTCATCAAGTCAATTCCAAACAGCGTGTGCCTGCTGATACCGAGGTGTATAAGCTGTTAGATGCAAGACAAGGTGATTAAACCACACACTTTGCCAGACTCGGTCTCGGACGTGCGGCTTCAGTGAGGTCCGGCCGTGATAACTCTCGTAGTTAGGTCTGGCTGTGAGGTGATGAGGCGGAGGGGATCAGTCCTGTACAGTTAGGGCTACCTGTGAGGTGATGAGGTGGAGGGGATCAGCCCGTACAGCTGTGGACCAGGAGACAGACGGTCAGTCCCTGTACCGGCCGGCTCTGATGTCAGCAGACAGCAGCAATCAGCGCAATCAGGACTGGCCGCGGGGTCAGCAGATAGCGACGGCCAGCCTGGTCAGGGCCGGACCGCGGGGGCCGTCAGCCCCGACATTGTGCAGACGGCCCACCCGCGGCGCCTCCCCGCATCGACCCCGCTTGGAACGCAGCGGAGGTGCCCAGGACGTCTCTCGCCGTCGCTGTACTGTCTCTGGCTTCCAAGAACACATCCCTCACGAAATTTGAATACACGGAGGATTCGGCTAACAAACAATAGCGCTTGTGTATGGATTAGGTTTGGAGCTGAAGACAATGACATGAGTTTCAGAACAGAACAGAGAGGCACCTACTTTCCATTGATAGGGTACTGAACTGTGGTGTGTTGGCAGTAATCCGTCTGGGAATGAATGTTCCAAATATGGCGTCTTTCCTGTTTTCGTCAAGTACACAAAGAAACAATCGCGTTTTTCTTCTGTTTGTCATGATAACATGCACGAGGCACATGCAAGGATACCGGAATAGTCCCAAATACTTTCGTGCACTATATTTAACACGGACTCATGACTTGGCATGCTTCCTCATAGCCCATCTTCGTAATTACCATGCTGTTGCAAGGTCAGTAGTAATTACAACGGGAGTGCAAAGATACCGCTGTCGGAGTGATTAGTACGACGCATGTAAATGAAGATCATTGTTCATGACTATAATAGCGCATTGTCTCCCGACCGTGAAATCTCTTAGAACTGCCAAGCATTGCAATTTAATGCTACGTAGATGCATGCTGGGTGGCAGGATGGCCGGCTCGCGTGATCGCTGATAGCACGGCGTCATGTCGGACCACTTGCAACACATCAAGGCAAAGGTGTCGCCGCCGGCGCGCGGTTGGAGGGAGCTGGAAAGAGAGTGTCAGGGGAGGAGTGGGGTCGGCGATTTCGGAATTGCTTCCTCATGGCAGCGCTTAAAGTGTAATGCTGAATTTCGAGCTTATTTACGGACGCACCCCCACCCCTCGGCGACGCCGCCACTGAAGAAAGCCAGAGAGACGGAGACGGCGTTTGCGAGTTGCCACTTTCCAGCTGTCGCACAGATAACACCGGTCATCCCACAACTCGTTCTTTAGATCGCACGGGTCCGTACTCATCTGAGCCCGTGTCGTTGGGCGCCCTGCGGCCGTGCCCCCTCCCCTCCCCCGACGCCTCTCTGATGTGTCGGTCCGCGGCGTCGGTCTGTGGCGGCGCGGCTAGGCGTCCACGGCCAGCTGTCGGCGGCGGCGGCGGCGGCGCGCGCGCCTTGACCCGGTTCCTGTTAACGGCCGGCTGCGGGCTGGACCGACCCGCCCGCGGCTCGGCGGCCGGCGGCCCTGCGGTCTGCAGTCCACCAAGGCCCCGACAGCTCTGCAGGCGCGCCAGCGTGCAGCGAGGTGGACAACAAAGCACGCGCGCCGGCGCGCCGTTGGCGGCGGCCCGCGTGTTTACCTCGCGCCTAATTGCCGGACATTGTCGCCGGAGCGGCGTGCTCCGCGTCGCGCGGCGAACCAGGTCAGCGCGCGGCGGGGCGCCGCATCGGCGCGCGCGGCCGCGATCCGACGGCCGATCGGACGACAGGCCGCGCCGCTGACCCCTGAGCGATATTGCGGCGCGGCGTGATGCAACGCCGGGTCTCGGGGTCGCGCCCGGCCTGTCGGCGGCGGCGGCGCGGGCGCGAGCGCCGGCGTCGTGCGGCGATAATGGTGCGATACGCCGGCCGTCTCACGGCGGGCGCGCGGGGCTGGCAGACAGGAGGACGCGGCGCGCGGCCCGGCCTGTCGGCCCGGACGCTGCGGTGCGAATGCGGGTGGTGTCAGGTCACCTGGCTCCGTAGCTGAGCAGCATGAAGCAGGCCGCCGCCGCCGCGATCTCGCCTGATACGGGCTGTTTATCAGGGCCGGCGTCGGTCGGCGCGGGCGCTGCGTACGCGTTCAGCATCAGACTGCCGGCTGGCCTCTGTCTGGGTCTCCGACCCTGAGCTGCGGATTCTCGGCTCCGACCAGGGGTCGTGACGTCACATCCGTTGGCCGCTGGTCTGAGGACAGGCCATGTCTGACCAAGCAGCCGGTTGTCCTTGGCCGCTGGTTTGGAGGGCGGGTCATGTCTGGTCGAGCGGCTGGCTGCCGTTGGCCGCTGGTCTGAAGGACAGGCCATGTCTGGCCGGGCAGCCGGCTGTCCTTGGCCGTTGGTCTGGAGGACAGACCATGTCTGGCCGGGCGGTTGGCTGCCGCTGGCCGCTGGTCTGGAGGACAGGCCATGTCTGGCCGGGCGGCTGTCTGGTGTGCTGATGGCGTCTGGAGTCGGCTCATTACTCGGACGGCCGTCGTATCTCGTGGGATTTGTGGCCCCTCGCGGGAATGACGTCGTGGTTGCGGAGCTGTTTGATCTCGGTAAAGATTGTGTTAATCGTTTGCATGTGATCTGGTTATCACAGGTGGTACAGTTATGAAAACGGGCCCACTGCACGAAGCATGATAACCTATTCACACCAGTGGGGTTCATGTGATCATTCCACCATGACTTGCACCAAATGCCAGTTCGGGTGATATTAACAATAACAAGTTGAGCGATAAATTTCTGGGCTTATGAGTTATTGTTTCGTTATGACAGGATAGCCCATGCAACTGAAGAAATCTCATAGTGTCATAAGCTATGACACCAAAACGCTGCCTGTGAAGTAATAAGTTGAGCGTATAAAAGCTGTTCAGCTTGGAGATTCACTTGACTTCAGGTGGTCAAATCGTTGTCTGTTATCTAATTTTTGGCTCTCTTTGGGGCGTATTTAAGAGCTATAATATTTTGCATTCAACCCGACCTTACAAATTTTTCAGCAGCTTTTTTCCCTCGTCTGAACCAAATTTTTAAAAACCAACATCTGAAATCACATGGTCTTTTGAACTATTGTCGATAGACTTTACGCAACTTTCTGTATGTTTGTTGAAAGATCATCCTGTGATCATTTTTTTAGCCGGAAGATCTAAGGACTACGTCGGTTTGTGATCTGACTGGCCCATTTGCTTTAACGCGGCTCATGATGAGACCTTTTGCGAGTTAGCACTCCACTGAGCCTGTACTTAACCTGCGCAGGTGAAACGCACTCTGCTGACCCAAAACAGCTTTCATTGTACGGTATCGCTTCCGGCTATCACGGCCCGAAAACACTTTCGATCGCGTCGCTATGAAATCGTGTCACCAGCCCTCTGTCAAGTTCGCCATAAACACGACTACCGGCAAACGCGCGCACACAGTCTCTCCGATGCTTTCCCCTGCGGCACTGCAGTCTCCCATGGAACGGCGGCGGCGGCGGGGCGTGTGTGGTCGGCATCTCGCGGCGCACGAGGCGACAACGCCGCGCGGTATCGGCGGCACGAGTTTGAAACGGCGGCGATTGTGGGCCAATCACCTGCGGCGACGGAGATCCAGGTCAAATCCAGGACGAGCGCGTCTCTCATCTGCCGGCTGCACTCAGGCTTCGCTGACTTTATAGGTTGTCGGTTGTCGTTTCAAATCGCGCTCTCACTCTCTCACTCTCCCTCCCTCTCTCTACCTCTCCCTCTCTCTCTATCTCTACCTCTCCTTCTCTCTCTCTCTCTCTCTCTCTCTCTCTCTCTCTCTCTCTCTCTCTCTCTCTCTCTCTCTCTCTCTCTCTCTCTCTCTCTCTCTCTCTCTCTCTCTCTCTCTCTCTCTCTCTCTCTCTCTCTCTCTCTCTCTCTCTCTCTCTCTCTCTCTCTCTCTCTCTCTCTCTCTCTCTCTCTCTCTCTCTCTCTCTCTCTCTCTCTCTCTCTCTCTCCGTCTGTCCCTCTTTCTCTCTCTCTTTCTCTCTCCCTCTCTTTTTCCCTCTCCCTGTCTCTCTCTGTCTCTCTTTCTTTCCCTCTCTCCCTCTCTCTCTCTCCGTTCCTCTCCCTGTTCGTCTCTCTCCTTTCTCTCTTGCCCCTCTATCCTGTCTTTCTTCCATTATCTTACTCTCTACGCCTCTCTCTCTATTTCTTTGGATGCCTCTTCCCACCGGCTCGGACGCCTGCACACGTGTTGACGCTGGCGCAGTGACTGGTACAGCACCGTTTCACTCCGTTGGAGTTGCCCCGTACTGATGTGTTGCCTCTGTTCCAGGACCATATCAGGGAGGTCCTCTCAAAATGGGACTCGATCGACGATGAAATCTGGGCCAAGATCATTGTGTTCGAGAGGAACCGTCGCGTTGCGAAGGCCTACGCTCGTGTCGGCGTGCTCACTATACACGGGTCCGACGTAGGATTCGACGGTAGCAAGTAAGTTACATGTGACACACTTCACCTGTTGGTTCTAGTGAAACAATGGTCCAGCTTTATGGCACTGGACTTTTTCCGCCATGTTGAAGCCAAAACCTCTCACAAAAATAAAGTGCACGGAGCGAGCTTCTTGCGAAACAATAATGCCTCATTCATTAAGAGTAGACGCCGCAGCTTTGTACGGCTATAACCAAAGAATAATACTTTTTCGACTTAATCTTCTTAATGTTGGCGGAACTGACCTTTGATGATGTGTGCCAGTCCATGCCATTTTGTTCGCTGACGTCACACAAGCCTGCTGTGTCGGAAACACAAGCGCATACCGCGGCAGGAGTTCCTGTTCGAGTGCTAGATGTCAGCACATGCTGAGGCAACCAACCCTGCTTTTCGTCATCGCGCTATCAGACCCATGTTTCACTTTCTAATCAAATATTCTGATCACGAGCGCACGGGCGGCCACCGGCAGCACTTACGCAACCGAAGACGGGGGCGGACGGGAGCGCGGAGCTGGGAGCGGGCATAGACCACTGGTAATTCTCCCCAACCTCCCCCTCTCCTGCGCCATTCTCTCTTCCCTTCCTCTGACATGCCGCCCCCTCCCCGTCTTCCGAGGCTCTCCTCCCCGGACCCTCCCGTCCACCTGCCTCAACTCAATGGTCGGGCTGCTGGCGAACGCGACGCAGTTGGGATCAACTGCGCGAGGCGGCAGGCCTTTACCGAGACGGTGCGAACCATTACAGCGGCTGAGATCCGAGCTGCAGGACCGTTAATCTGCCAGCTTGCGGGCCGCGTCGTTCAAGGTCAATTGCAAGTCGTTCCATTGCAAGGTGTGGGCTTACGGAGGCTCTGCTGGCGATTACAAGGGAAGGCGGGGAGGAGGAGGGGATGGGGCATGTCGATGCTGACCACCGTGAAACTCGGTACATAGTGTCTTGTAGAGGCCTTCACGGGCGGAATTTCCTTTACCCAATTTACTCGCCAGCTGTGTGCCCATTCCCACACGATACCCATGCCTAATTAGCTGTGCTCAACCGTGATTCAGCCATTTGCATTTTTAAGCATTTTTGTTCTAAATTATTAAGGAGTTTTAAGAAAATTCGCACCCGAGATTACTCTCTTGCTTTGTTAATTGTAAACCTAGTGAGAATGAAGCTAATTATGACTAAAGCAAGTGAAGCAGTATCCCTGCATGCCATTTTTGGAGTATCCACCTGACATGTCACCTGACACCTGACACCTGACATGCCACTAAGGCCTGACGATTACATACCCGTTCCCCTACCCGCATTTTTACCAAAAGATGTACCTAACCCAGCCCGCTCCCCATTTTACATGGATGTTGATGGGTTTACCCAACCCGCAAAGTCCACTGGTACCTGGTCATAAGTTTCTGGCCTGAGTATTGGCTGCGTCATCCATCTCACTTTTGAGTTCTGTTTATGATGCTTCCTGTAATATTTGTTTAAATGTAGGAAAGATGCAGCGAAACACACACTCTACCGCAGCCATCCCGTGCGTTAAGAGATGCCATTGGCACAGGCATCTAGTCGGCAGCAAAACCAGTAGCAGAAATAATGGTAGAAACAAGACCCGTAAATCTTTCTTAACAAAACCGAGAGCTTCCTGCTCAATGCAGTGACGTAAAAATGTCGATCACCTGATCTAATGCTCAACGCAGAGATCCTGTTCAACAAAAGGGAGCTCAATGATTGAATCGCTGTGTGAGACTGAGTCTGGGATGGATCTGATCCTGGTTCGGATGTTGCCTTACATTCAGGGTCATGCCAGAGTGGCGCAGCAAGAGCCAATGGCTGGCGTTGCTAGAACGTCTGGGTGGATGTCGGCGACGCCGTGGCGTGGGGCCGTTTAGCCTCGACGGCCATCTGTTCATCTTCCTAATCGGGCACGTCTGCTCCCGACAATGCCCCCCACGGTAGGGCGAAGGTCGACCAGTCTGACACTGCCCGGTAACCAAGGTGGCGGGAGGTAGAGGGCGCCCTCACAAAGGTCACCGGAGCCTCCCACCCGAGCTGCGACATGCCCGTCCATGGCAGTCGCATCTATTGTGCGTCGGCTGTACGACCCGGCCACCTTACGCCCCACCTCAGGTCCTCTCACCCTCGTCCAGCTCAGACCCCTCCCCTGCCCGTCCCCGCCTGCCAGCCGTGTCCTCCCTGTCATGGGAGGAGGCCGGCCTCGCCGCCTCGCGTGGCATCCCGCCGTCGCTCCCGGCTCCGCGGGCAGCGGACGGTGGGGGGCGGTGTGGCCCTCAGCCCCGCCCGTCTGTCCCGCGGCAAGGTTCCCCGGGTGCCGAAGGTCGCCCGGCGTCGGCCGGTTTTTGTAGCGGCCGGCCCGCCCGAGCCCCCGGGCGCATGCCGCCCAGGAGAGGAGCGCGCCAGAACAATCAGGCCGGGCGGACCGCTGCTCGGCCGCTGATTTATGTATCGGCCTGATCGGCGAGCTGATTAGGCCGCGGTGGAGTCATCATGGGTTCGCGGCTACTGCGCGTCTCGCTGTGGTCGGCCTCCTGCTGGGTTGGCGTGGTTGAGGGTCGCGGTAGCCGGAATTCTCGCTGTCACATTCTAAACTGTTGGAAACTGATTCCAGCACATATGTCACGGTGGGTGGGGGAATGCTGCTCACTGAACAACTTATCGGTGCTGTTAGAATTCTTATGGGCGCAGATAGATATGGGCATTTAAGAAGAAATACAATGTGATCTGTTTTCCTGAAGTATAAGTGAACCGTTACACACCAATTTGACACAAGAAATTGACATGCATATTGCTGAATTAATGAATTATTTTCTTCGCCTACATTATTAGATTGTGTTGCGTGAGGCTTTGACGGAAGACCATCAAATCGACGATGTGGACTGGCGGCTGCTTGGCTTTACAGATCATCCACGACATGGCCATTGTACCTCATGCTCCAGACAATTTACATGACGTCATGCCAATGCATATTTCATTTGACTATCACGGTGCTACTGACTGTGCTACCAAAGGATCTGTGCTACCCAAAAGATCGTCACGCCGTGCTGTCCCATACACTCATCCGAGTGTGTCATACGTTGTGAAATAAGGGACTTCCTCCGCAGCTACATAGGTCTTTGCTGTTTAAAATACCTGTGTCAGCGTGACCGACAAGAAAATTGTACGCGCTCTTGTCCTGTATGGTTGATGCATTTCTTGCATCACTTTTTAAGTACTGAGTGGGCTCCCAAGGACAGTACTGGGACGCTTCGGAAAATTACCCATCTAAAGGCTGAAACGTAGTCATTAAATACGTCAGGAGGCGCGGCGACAGGAGAGCACGCCGCGCCCGGTGACGTAACACCGTGTTCTGGCACTGCCCACCTGGCTCCCCTGACACTGCAACCTGGTTCTGATGAACGCCTGTCCTACCATGGCTGCATTCTTCGGCACTACACGCGCATGCAAGGTTCAAATAACCGGTCAGTTACACATTTCACCGCCCGCAAACTAGGCGGCAATCTACCCGACAACTCACGCAGCACACGAACGCGTATTCTATCGGACGGGGGAGCGTGCCCGCAGTGACGGCCGCCGCTCGCACCGCGTCCTGTCGCGCGGCGTCCCGTGCCTGGCATCGCCCGCTGACAGGCGGCCGCGCGGCGGCGTGCGAGAGCGTGAACGCGGCGCGCGTGTCAAGCCACTCGGCCACACTTTCCTCGCCGTTGCCGCCGCCGCCGCCGCCGTCGCCTCGCGTGGGCCTGCCGTATGCGTTTGGCAACCAGACGCGCAGCGACCGGAGACGGGCGGCGCCGTTTCGCCACCGCGCCGCGGCGGCCGGCGTGGGAGCGGCCGGCGGCGCCGCGCCCGGTGTCAACATGCCGCTGACGCGTGCGTGTCTGTCGCCCCTCCAGGATCGGTTTGTGCGGCTTCGACAACCCACTGCGGGACCCCAAGGTCGAGGAGGCTAAGCGGTACATCGGAGGGGTAAGTGCGGTCCGCTCTGTTGGCTGTGGGCCGAGGAGCTGTCTTGAAATGCGCCGGACGCGGATGTGAAGGGTCACACGCTCTGCTGCTGACCTTCAGTGTTGTCTGTGGGGGTCAGTTGTGGACCAATAAAAGACCCGTCACTTGCCTGGAAATGTCGCATTTAGCTGTAATTTAGGTTATGTAAACTGTCTGATCACAAAAGGCATTCGAATGTCAAAATTGCGATGGTACGTAAGAAACCTGACGCTGTTGATGCTGGAAGTGTGACTCTAGCCTTTCGACTATTGGAAGAACTAACACAGAGACGCTTTAACAAGGCTCTCTCCTCCCAGGGCGTGAAAGTGAAGATGGACAACGAAGGAAACCTGATGGTGAAGCGACTGGCCAAGTCCAATGTGTACGTCCGGTACGCCAACGGCGAAAACGCCGTGGGCTCCGACATCCTCAAACTGCCGCAGGCGGCGCTGGAGGCCAACAAGGGTCTGGCGGTGAGTTGTGAGGATTCGAGGCGGCACTGAGACACCAGCTGGAGGAGGCAATCCTGGCTGTTGGTCTCAACTCCTCACGTATTTCTTGTAGGCCTCGAAGGACATGTGCATTCCGTTCATACAGTTGTAAAAGTGCACCAGACAGGTTCAATCCCAGTTTTTAGGGCAATTTTCAAATGCCGAGTAAGGATGACGTGTACTCTGAGTTTTGTTAATTCAGTGACTTTATCTACGGTGAGATGGGGAAAAGGTTTTATGTTCGGTATGAGCCTGTTCTGGATATCCTCAAACTCATCCCACAAGGACGAGTTTGCTGCTCACCGGCCCTGGCAAGCAGCCCAAGCACCGCGATAGAACAGACAGGTCAGGGTCTTCTCCAATCATCACGGCCATAGGAGAGTTTTGTCTCATTTCTGCGGTGGCCCGGCCTCAGCTATCACTGACAGCTTAAGGTCATATTCCGTATCTGGGGACAAGCGAAAGTCCTTCTCAATCACCGATGTTGGCTGAAAGCCCTTTCTTGCCCCTGAGCTGGCTTTGGACTCACTGGCACTGGCACTAGCTTTGGACTGGCTTTGGACTCTAGCGCTGATGCACTCAAGAAGGCCATCTACCCGGCTATCATCCAAGCGGAATGACTTGTCCGACGGAAAGAGCCGGCGTGATCGATGCCTAGTCTCTTTTTCAAGGCCCGCACCGTCTCATTATCACCGCTGGTGGGGGATTTTTTGCCGGCCCCCCACCCTGCCGGAAGCCGCCGACACCACTCCCATTGTCCACCGCCGCTTGATTGACCCCAAAGCGGCCGGCAAAGCTGGAAACACCGTAAACGCACTCCCTGATCGCCGCACAAAAAATGGTCGGCCGTGCCAGGGGCGTCTCGCCTCAGACAAGGCGGGATAAAGGGAGCAGGGAGCCCCGCCTCGGACGTGACCGCGCGGATTCGGAGGCGGCCGACCACGGGTCTCCGCTGTGTTCCGAATTTAGTCCCGCGAGCCTCGCGTGGCTGGACACGGAGAGTCCTCCGACTCAGGCGATCCGGTGACCGATTACGCCCGCCGGCCCGGTCCGGATGGCGCTGAGGAGCGTGAGCACCTCACTTTGGGACTGGCGACACGGCAATGACAGGCTCCCAGTGATAACATGTCATGAATTGTCTGGCCAAGTGCGGCTTACGATAACTGATAGAGCGCCTCCAAGCTTAAACGGGGCTTCAAAGTTGGCCTATACCCTGAAAACATGTCTGGCATTAAGCTCCCAGGAGTCTAAATCCGGCACCCAAAAGGTCAGGGTAAGGACTTACTGTTAACGTCATTGAAACAGGCTTACCTTGTTCGCATATCAGCCCACAGTGCAGGCTTATGCCATTGTAACCCACGCGCCAGCTCTTCATTGCCAGATTCTTGTACCAGGCGTTCGCGGTTTGTGTGCGGACGCAGGCGCCGAGTCGCGCGTCCCCTGCCCTCTCGGGTGGCCTTGATACTCGTCTTACGCGCCGTGCCCTGCTCGACAGCTGTTCGACCTGAAGAAGTTCCACCAGAACGTGAACCGAGAGCTGAAGAGGCAGTACCCGGACCGTACCCGGCTCGAGAACCAGTGCATGACCTCGCTGGCGTTCGTCAAGAACGACGACGACCTCCTCAACTGCCCCTGCTGGGTGCTCATCATCAACATCGTTGCGCTTGACATGCTCAAGGGCAAGCTGATGCCAGGTGCGGCAGATCCATCCAGCTGGCTTCAGCAGCGAGGTGCCATCATGCTAATCAAATGAGCCACATTATGGCTGGCTTTACCGGGCCATGCCTGAGGCCTTCGTCGATCGATTTTTAAAAATAGGCTATAATTCGGGCAGATTTGACTGCTTACAGATGGGAATGAATTAACTAAGCTGTAGCCTAGCCGGCCGTTCATCGCCGTGGGCCGGAAAGTACCACCTGGATACCCAACAGTGCTTACTCACTCGGCGCCGCCTTTTCCATCCTCCGGCTTGATTTATTCACATATCCGGAGATAATGGCATTCAAACACGGTGTTTTTGCGTTGCGCGTGCTGTTCTCGGCCGCGTCGCCATTAATCTTAGCCGTTACCAGCCGGGTTCGAGCCATAACACCCTGTCAGGTCGACACCGACGACCAGTCACGTCCGCCCGCCAACAGTACGGTTTCTTCCAGCCTCGATACCGCCGGCTGTGTCGGCTCCGGCGGGTTCGCGGAGCCGGATCCCGATCCCAGACGAGGATCCGTACAGCTTGGCCGGCTCGGGCGGCAGCTCCGGCTCCTCCGGCAAGCAGGGACGCTCCGAGAGGCCGCCCAAACTCCCGCCCAGGGACACGGACCGACCCAGCCGCAGGGATAACGTGAGTTGCCGGGAGCAGAGGTCAGGGAGACCGCAGGGGCGACGTGAACCAGAGAAGCTGTGCAGGAAGCATGCGCTTTCTCCCTGCGGAATTGTGTTTATGCTTCACTCGACTGCTGATCCAAGTGCAGCGTCATCAGCCGCGATCAATCACAGTGCAAACGAAAATCACCCTGTAATTTTCTAGGGTGGAGTGGACATTTACACAATGTATTGCAGCCATTTATCTAGTTTGGTGTTATACCAACACTTCATCTTGGAAGATCACGGGACTCCTCCCTGGCAGACTACGGGGACAATGTCACTCGTCATGGAGCACATGTGACCAGACCACAGGCACATACAAGACAATATTAACCTTCAAGCCCTGCGGCTACGTGTGCTAGTCTGTGACCACGCGGATACAGCTCGGTGTCATCCCAACAGTTCGCCATGGAAGATCATTGGACTCCTCCCTGGCAGACTACAGGGACAATGACATTAGTCATGGGACTTGAACCGACCCAACGATTAAATAGCCGACTATTGCTCTCCTGGGTAATAGCGCTCAGCACGGCATGAGGGGACGGCGCAAGTCACCGGGGCGTAGTCCGGCAGACCTCGGCGTAAATCGAACGCGGAGACACGTTGTCGGGCCAGGGCGGCGGGACGCGTTCTCGCCGCCTGGACGCATGCTTCAGCCGGCACCGAGTGCAGACCGGTCTGCGGTAGCTGGCCCATCGCCCAGTCCGGGCAGCTCGCCGCCACAGTCGGCTGATCCAGTCGTCCTTTGGATGGATATCCTCCGACATCGCAGGCCAACTCCCGCGGCAGTCGTTGCTCCTGCGACCTGCGATCCCGCGCGATAACCATCCGGCATGTCGTGGCATCGACTGACTTGATCCACGCATCATGGATTGACCGTGAATCCTGTCTGCCGACGGAAGGAATCGGCAAGCCTTTGTCGGTAAAAGAGCATGACCATGAAACCATGTCCTGCGGTCCCGCCAGCCACGCAGCATGTGTGGTGCCTGATAGCTACAACTGCCCATGTGGAAAATTTTCCCGTGAAGAAAAACTTGCGGACATAGTTTTTGTTTTCGCTACACGACCACCACTTTGAGGAACCTCCGTCAGGGGTCGTGAAAGCGGCACATAATGCGGTCAGTTAACACTGATCGTAAAATGTGGCATTGCTGCCTGTCAGCTGCGCCGTCCTGCGGCTGGCTTCTGCTGCGCTCGCTCTCTTTCCGTCAGCGCCCGTCCCGGCCCCAGCTGTGCCCGTCCCCGCCCCGACAGTCGGTGAAGGGAAAGTGGCCACGACGCCACCCGTTACCAGCCTGGCCGCCGAATCCGGGCCGGGCTACTTTTACACGGCACATGGCCGCGTCGGGCTCAGCCCGCAAACAGAGCCTCTCGCCGAGCTGCCCGTCAAGGAGAGCGGCAGCTGGCGTGCTCGCCGCGTCGGCGTCGGCGGCGGTCGCGGCGTGGCTCTCTGTGTGTCCAGCGCGCGCGGTGGTGTCGTCCGCCGTGCCTCTGATGCGGGGACGGCTGCGCGTCCCGGCGCCGGGAGCCCACTAACGACGGCCGCCGGTGGCGCAAGGACCCGCGCCAGCAACATTGTGGTCACTAGCGAGTGGGGCTCTTTCGGCGAAAGCAGAAACCGGTCGTGGTCAGGTCGGGTCCGGCGTGCCGCTACATATTGATGAGAACGGGCCACTTTTTACACAGATGACTGGCGGAGACGCGGCGTGTGTTTTTGCTGCCGGATGGAACGGCTGGCGCAGGTGTCAAAGCATGGCAGGTGTCAGCCAGACAGACCTGGCGAAGGGTGGTATGACGGGCAGACTGGTCGTCGCTCACGCATGCGCAATACGTGGTGGTCCCGACTGATCATTAATCGGGGTAAAATGGGTCAACTTTGCGCTCCACAGATGATGTGATCCTTGATACATCTGCATCCGCGCTTATGTGTTCCTCCTTCGTGTGACGAAGACAGATGCGTGACTTCATGCCCGGTTTGCAGGCGGAGTATGGCGAAGACACAGACGACGCGGAGCCGGCCCAGAACGGTGGCGTCGGCGGCCTGCGGGCCCGACTTCAGTCGTCGCGGAGTAAAAACAAAAAGGACAGGAAGAAGGGCGGTAAGTCCCGTGTTCTGCGTCCCACCAGAGCCCGTTCCTTTGTCGTGCACCGCCGGTGGCCGGTACGCACTTGTCTGGCCGATCGAACGCGGCCGCATGAGTCAGCAGATCCGCGCGGAGGAAGCGGGGGCGGGGGGGGGGGGGGGGCGTGGTGTGGCGTGGCGTGCTCGGGCGGAATCTGTTTCAGCCGGGGTAAACCAGTGCCGTGCCGTTGGCAAGGTCGATCGGTGACCCCCGTCACCGCGCGCGCTGACGCATCGCCGAGTGCTGGCTGTCCCCGTGCTCCGTGCCTCCCGGTGACCACAGCGTGCTTTCCGAGGTGGTCGGTGGTGGATGACTGTCCCACCGGGCACTAATCGTTCTTTCTCCTTGTTCGCGAACACCAGACGCGCTGATCCCGCCGGGACAGGAAACGAAACCTCCGGGTTGGTGGTCAGAAACAGGTCACTTAATCACCTCGGGATGTCGCTGTGCGGTTAAGCAACGTTCTTCGGAAGACGACACAGGACCAGCTTTTACAGTGCATGTCTCCATCCTCGCGTTTATGCAAACACCTTTGTTTCGCTTTTTGATAAAGTGCACAGACATTTTTGCGTCTTCTGATCAGGGCTCAGAAGCTCTTACAGCAGCAGCTCAGCAGCTCAGTAGCTCTTACAGCGGCAGCTCAGCAGCTCAGTAGCTCTTACAGCAGCAGCTCAGCAGCTCAGTAGTTCTTACAGCAGCAGCTCAGCAGCCCATACGGCGGCAGCTCAACCGCTCAGTAGCTCTTACTGGTAAAGCTCTCAATTAACCGGATGCTCGCGAACTAAAACCGAACTATGATTCGGATTTGACGCTGTGATGTAAATGTATGGTTTTGATAGCAAAACACTTATACAGTTATTCATTGACTTATGTTTTAGATAATAATTCAGCGCTTCCTTTAGTCATCCTAGCCCCATCTAACTCATACAGAGCAGTACAGTACTGGGTGTTAGCCATCATAATCTGTAGTTTACAAAACTGCAATCAAATCACTGTGAACAGGGTAACTTGTTTGTGACGAACAACCATCTCTAAAGCCCAGCTCTTTGTCCTCTCCCATTCTCGCTCACCATGTCGTGCAAGAGTCGCCGTCCCACCAGTTGGCGTTATGCCAGCCGCAGCACCAGCTCGTAAACAAGCGTGGACTCAGCGGGGCCTTGTGCCCGAGCTGGATAATCCCCCCCCCCCCCCCCCACCCCCAGGCAGAGGCCGCAGCTCGCTCGCCGAGGGGCACGCCAACACAACAGCGCGTGCACTCCGAAAGTCCCGGCCAGTTTCCCGGATTGCTGCGCTGCGTCCGATGGCCGGATTGTCGCGAGATAAGCGCATGTGACGTCACGCGTGGCCGGAGTGCGGCCGTTTTTGGGCGGCGCGCCTCGTCCAGAACCTGTTTTACTTTCACTGGAGTGCGGTGGGGCGGCTGCCGCTGGCCGGCCGCTGGCCGGCCGCTGGGCGGGCTCCGGACGGGCGCGGCACGCGCCGGCCACTCCCAGAGCAGGCCCGGGGTGGCCGGCGGCGGGGAGTGGTCCAAGGGTGCGGCGGGGCACGGGCTTAACACCCAAGCGGGGGCCCTCGAACCCCCGCCCGAGCAGTGGCTTGGGTGGTAGTTTGGCTCCAGACGGGGGAAATGCATGAGTTCAGGAAGAGGCTTGAGACTGAGGATTAGTAGACCCTAGGTTGACCGCTAGGATTGCATTTGGCATATGCACCATGAGGCTGCATGAGCAATATGGCGCATGTTTCTTTGGCAGCGAAAAAGAGCGGGAAATTAAAAATACCACCAGTTCCCATGCAGAATCAAAATAAATGAATGGTGGTTTGCACTGGAGAGACGACCGCCAGATGGAAGGGAACTGGTTTGTGTTTAACGGTATGACGATACGAAACAGAACCTAGCTGCCGAGAAGGCCCGACAAAATATACTTCGATGACATTGAAAACAACCTCTATTTTTTGGGAGGCTTCAAGAACACATCTTCAGCAACCATGAGTAAGCGACCCAAAATATATCGAGATACGGTCGTCCCACCCACCGCACACATAGCAGAAAGAGTAGCAATAACAGCTTTGAAAGCCGCGAGCTGCAATGTCGAGGCATTCTGCCCATGTTTTTCACTGTTTTTCTATTCAGACAAGCTCCTCGGAACAGACTACGGTTCAAAACAAATCCCCGCCTCTTCTACTTATCTGAATAACTTTATTGTAAGTAATTTGCAGGCTCTTTACATGCAAATTTCAGCACTCGCAATATCAAGGCCTGCAAACTCATAGCAGAGACCCAGCGCCGGAGGGGGGGGGGGCGGGGGGCGAGTCCCGTGCTGGCGCAGAGCTTCCGCCCCAACTAGAGCTGGGGGTCACAAGACCGGGTGAGGGGAAGAGCAGTGGACCCTTGGCTCTAAAACTTTGCAATGGAATGGGAAGAAGCTTATGCAAGCAATAGAAAGGGAAAAAGCTTATGCAAGCTGTCGGTTAAAGTGTAAAGGTCATCGGCTGCGAAGCCACAAGCTCGTCGCCTGATGTGAACATCGAGAGCAGACAGCGAGTACCCCGACAGCATGGTGATAAAATTTGACAGTCGTGACGACAGAGCGCTGGTCGGATGTGAAGCTGGTGCCTCCACGAAAGGCGTGAGGAGTGACCCGGGGTAAGGGGGGGGGGGGGTTGAATGAGGGGGTGACGCTAGAGGGACACCGTTACTTCATCCTGTCCGGCATATACGTGAAACCGCCGATGTTTCGTCACCAGCTATGTAGGTTAGGACCCGCTTCACCGCATTCTATGACGCGATGCAGACCTGGTGATTTAGTTAAGATGATTGCATGAACAGCCGCAGCTGCGGGCTACGGTCGCCTGAAGGCCGCGCTACAGCAGGTGCCGTGGGAACCGTGTGGTCAGTGGAGGCCGGCAGCGTCAGCCAGCTTGCATCACGTGCCAGCTGTGCGGCAACTGTGACAGCCAGGCACAGCCCTGTCCGGATCTATGAACAGATCCGGACCGAGGCGTGCTTAGCGTGCCTCGCACAGCCCTTTTCACAGCGGCACGAGAAGCAGGCCCCAGGAGGCGAGGTCGCCACAGAGTAGTGTCACGCAGTGTGTGTTACAAGCCACGGCAGAACCGTTACGAAGCCGGCTCTTCTGTTCCAGATGAGCTGTACTACGGCGGATTCCAGGCTCGCATCCCCAACTTCGCCAAGTCCAAGCACGGCAGGGAGGACCCGCGCGCCTACATGGCGGGCCCCCATGGCGGTGTGCCCATGCCACACCCAGCCATGTGGCACAGCCGGAGCTACGAGAGCGGCATGGGTAAGTGCATACGGTAGCGGAGACGTGCTTTCAACGAAAGCACGGCCTTTTAAATAAATCTGTATTTATTTAAGCGCTAAGGACCCGCAAAAGGCTATTACGCTTTTGGAAAGGACGGGCTGAACCCGCGGTATTAACATGTAACATATTGTGTGTTTGCCCGTTTTGCCGCTACGTCACGTGCCTCACTTCTGGTGACGTCAGCTGTGCGCCTGGCAATGCACATATGCATATCAGTGTAGGTATGGACTGTGCTATAAAAAGTTATTGACCGCGCTTAACAACTCCGTTGTTGACCACATCATATAAGCACTAGCTGTGAGCGCTATAAGGCCACTGACTACAATTAACCGCGTGGTAGATCCACGTATTTGGGTCGGTGCAGCCAGCAGTTGTGAGCCTACGACGATTATGACAACTTATCAGTGTGACGAGTCAAGTTCGTTAGGCCAACCCCGAACATTTCGAGCGCCCGGGGCCCACAACCTCGGCCACTCTGGTGTACAAGTCGATAAAACAGCGTCGTTGTTCGCCTGGTCGTGTGGGGAGTAAGCCGGGGCACCACCTGCCGCCCCCCTCCCCACTGCCGCGCCGTCCTTCGTCTGGGTCACCCCACGCATGACCAGAGAGCAGTGCTAGGCTCATGCACGCTGGGCGGTGGTACTTGGCCGTTGCTGTGTGGGTCATGGGGAGGGCTTCGGGCAGCTCTTGGTCTCCCTCAGTGGCTCCTCGCACTGGCGTGAAGCCTCCTCACGCTGCTCTGACGTGCTGTGTTCCGTGTTGTTCTTCATTGTCGTCTGTGGCCGGCACCGAACTAACCTGTGCTCTCGCCCATACAGGACGCATGCAGTATGTGTCCATGCCTAACATCCATCGGATGTCACAAATACAAAACCCGATGAATTTCGTTCAGCCCATGGCCTTGCACCAGGGTGAGTTTGAGAAACGATAGCTAGAGGTGCTTAGATCTAGACAAATATATCCATAGATTTGAGCATTATAAGGCTGCATCAAACATAAACAACCTAATTCGCAGTCTCGCTATGGATTCTCCTGGCTTCTGTCACTAGTCACAGTCGGGTAATGTCACTATTTCGATTTAATTTAATGATATTTTGTGCTCAATTTGCATGATATGAGATGAGCGTTAGCCATGGCATGTTGGCGGTATAGTTATCGCGGATAACACAACTTCCACTTCGTGGTGTAATAGTATTATCCGACTATGTTTAGTTTGAATTTCTCTTGAGCATACTACTTTCGGTTTCTTTCAAGTTTTCATGCTTGTTAAGCAACAGCTGGTTAAGCAATAGTGTAACAGTAGCTAAAAGGCAAACTGGGTTAGGACCTGAGCCCCATACTTTCTTCTGTGTTCTATACTTTTCTTTACCCAGTAGCTCTCTCTGGCCATTCTTCTCTCTCATGCGCTCTGTATGCCTGCTCTATTTCGCTGTATCCCTATGTGCCTGTTCCTCCCGGCTAGATCTGTGCACGTGGCTTGTGGATAACGCTGACGCGCCTTCCTCTGTCTCTGCCCCGGCAGCTGTCGACCGGGAATGGGAGCTCTATTTCAGACACCAGCACGGAGGGCCCGTCAAATAGATAGCCTTGATCCGACCCATTCCGCGCTCGGTTTTGCCTTCCTGGCTAGGTAAGCCATTAGCTAACGTGCAAACCCCGCACGTGCGGCTTGGCCGGCTTGTCCCCACCCGACCTGACCTGACCTGACCCGACCTACGTGACCTGACCTGACCTGATTCGCGTGTGATGTGGCCTGACTTGAGTGATGGTTGGATGGATGCGGTTTGAAGGGTGACGGTTATGAAGCCCAACTCGGTCGATTACGGAGGTTTTGTGGTGAAAAAAGTTGTACATACATATCAAATATCGATGTCCACGTCTATAGTGCATGCGCCAGCGCTAATAGCAAGCTGTGTTATACGCCACAAGCTTTTGGAGACATTTTAGAGGCTGTCCTCTGTCGTCAGTCAACCTCATCCCGCTACAAGCACTTCTGAATTAACCGTGACGTACATATTGACGCCGATGAAACACTGTACAAAGAACACCGCTCCGACTGGCTGGTGAAGTTGCACCGTTTAAAATGCATCCCGCCGCGTACTCGTGCGCGCCGCCTAAGCCGCGTCGGTGAGAGCTGGCACGGGTCCACCGACCACTGCACAGACAGGCTGCGCGTGACGGACGCTTTGGATTGCCTGCTGGACGGACAGTGACACGACCTTGACACGCTTTTGACGGACGCACCGACCCAGAGGTACGTGACGCTACGGGCGGCCGGGATGGGTCGATTGACAAGTGTTTCATGCTCGCCGTCGGGGTGCGGGGTTGGGCTATGTTAGAAAGGCACTTAGGTTTTCTCATTGGGCACTTGTTCTTGTTAGATCACCGATGGCTTGAGCTGATGATAATGATTATGGCATTTACAGCGAGTGACGTTTTGATGACGGTTGGCCCCAGATGACATAAGTAACGTTCCTTTGACTGTATTAGTGATGACACAGTTACATTTACGGTACTTGGCCGTGAATACCGCTTTAGGAACAATGGGTTAAGCTGCTTTCAAGGCTTGTCGGCAGATCAACGTCAGTAACCGAATAATTTGGTGTTCATATATGCGGCCTGGCATCTTAGATCCGTTTTGGCTGGGGCTCTCAGACATTCGCTAACGTTCCTCTCAATGGCTACTTTTACATTCGAATCACCAGCTAAAGCATCGGGGCCACCGTTTTCTTTTTTGATTGGGTGTAATGTAATTTATAGGCTTTTTAAGACAAATTGGCCGAGAACTTAACTCATAACCTGTGATATACGAAAAGATGGTTAATATAATTTCTGCTCTACGTGTTCTCGAAGATTTGAAGTACTAATATAAAAATCCTGCCGCTGAAAACGCCATGTGCCTGCCTGCAGTTAGAATTTTAAGGCCCACTAAGCTAGTTTCCCAACACTAGATTCGTCAAATTTTACACCAAGTTGTTCACCTTTTCTGCTGAGCTGTCTCGATGCTTTTTCAGACCCGTATTGAGCATAAAAAATAACGTCGGTTTCTGTTGAATCAGGGTATGCGAAGCATTGCGTACCGAGCTAATGCAAAATTTATGTACGATTGTTCGTAAATAATTCAAACACATTTAGCTGCGGGATTCATTCCATTGTGACGGGGGCTGTGCTGTATGAAATCATCCAGTTGACCTCATCGAGGTCAGTTGGAGTTTCATTGTTTCATTGGAGTTTCAAAGTTTCATTGAGTTCTCCTGTTATACCTCAGCTAACACGCCATTATGCTCAAACACGCTTCATCCTCTTTCGCTAACCGTAAATGCAAAATGTTTGTCCTGCTCCGTTGACAGGGTAAGCACACGCATGCCGTACATTCCAGAGATGGAGAAGGTCGACTCGCCGTACAGTCGGATGCCCAACTGGAACCCGATCCACGGTCGGCTGCCGCCCTCCTTCCAGCAGCGGCGCGCCATGTACGTCTCCAACTGGCAGTGAGGCAGACGTGGCGCAGTGGCGGCGAGCGAGCGCCGAGCGGCGGCCGGCGCTGGACGGCGAGCGCCCGAGACGCTTGTTAAGGCTGGCCGGCGCAGCAGCGGCGGTGTAGGACTCGTCCGTGGATGTGATACAGCGCCCGCTGAATCCAGGAGCGGGGGTCGCCGGCGGCGCGGTTCGCAGCGGTGGGAGCGGACCGGTGCCCCCGGGGCGGGGGCGGTCCCGGCCACGAGCGCCGCGCCGCGCCCCGCGCTCGTACCGTCAGTCAGAGGCGCGGCCGGCAGAGGGCAGTGGCGAGTCGCCGCACCGCGTGCGATATTTCACGATCGGTTTCGTGTTACCATTTGTAATGGTGTTCTTCCCTTGGAGTGTTGTTTTTTGGTAGATTTAAGTCTTCCGGATTTATATATCGAGATGTCGGTGCGAGTGGCAGTCCGTTTACGTGCGAGGTATTGTAGGGTCGATGCGTGATGATGATGATTGTTGCTGGCTTGCCACTAGTGCGCACCGCGCGGTGCCTGCTGAAGGGCTGATAAGATGTGAGCTTTGGTGATGAGAAGCGTGTGAAAGTCAAACCGAGTGCTCAGCCTGGTATTCCTGGGCCATGCGTGACTTGACCACGCAGGCGTATGGCGTGAGATGTTCACGCACCGCCTGGCCACTCACGCCGAGGTTTCAAAACTGATATTAACTCGCCCAGTTTGATCTGGGATGTCTGCGCTCATCACTCCGCCACCGGTTTGGCGTTTTCTCTCGTGACGGCGAGAGCGTGCGCAATTGTGCGAGTCGTACTGCCCGTAAACAGTCACCCTCGTGCGTGTTTTCGTGATGGGCAAACGGGGGGGGGGGGGGGGAGATCTTCGCCTGAGTGCATTTTCCGAGACATAACCCTTTACGCGTTGATACGTTGATATCGACTTTGGCTACCATCAAGTAAGGTGCCATTCCTTCCGCCATTTCTTTTGCGGTTTATGGAATTAATTGAAATAATCGGCATATCCATTTCTGCCAAAGTTGTCGCGTTACAGAATGTAAACCCTTTTTACCGAATGATCCTTTACTCGCAATCCTTTCAAAAATGTATAAATACCGCCAGCCACCAGTCGCCAGCCTCGTCTACAAACTCTGCTTGGCTCCCAGAAGCTTGAACACAATGCATAAAGGACGCTTGCCACTCTATTGCTCATCGGTGTCTTAGCGGCTTGCCTTTCCGGTTACGAGCCGCATGGTGTATGCTGACAGGTGTGTGCATGTGTAATAAAACCATTGGCCCAGCGCAAGCGTGTGGAAAATGCGCCAACCGAGTTTTGTCTTCTCCAAGATCTAACAGGTACGTGACTTATTATTGTCGTTTATATCTATCTATCTATCTATCCATATATATATATATATATATATATATATATATATATATATATTATGCCTATTATTATCGTTTTCTTCTTAGTGCAGTTAAGCAAATTTTGAGCATTATGCCAAGCGCCACGAATTCGTCAGTGTGGCGAAATCTAGGCGTTTGCGCTTGACACTGCGCCATTTACTGTGCGATTGCAGCTTCTGAAAGATAGCTAGCTTCGCTGCAATCTGAATTTTGATAGCATTCATTCACATGACTAGTATTCACGTAGAGAACAGTGACGTCACCTTGCAAAGCCGAATTGGGGGTGCAACCCGTGGCGTATGATATCAATTAGGCCCGCGAAATATACCTTTCACCGATTTTGCCCAGCAAATGTAACGCTGGCAGAGCTCTTGATGTTTTATTTTGGGAATGCAGCGGTCTGTTGCCTCAAAGCTTTGCGTCCAATCAAATTGCACCCAAATGTCGTCACCCACCTGTCTAGGTCCAGCCAGTGGGAAAACATATGGCGAACAATCAATGGATTGTGCGCGGAATGAGCGCTGCTCACCCGTATGAGTTCAAAGGCAAGGATTCCACAAATAATCAGGGTATGCTGTGATGCAAAGCGATTACTTCCTGGCGGAGAAGTTCTAAGATACTCAGGAATTGCTCAGAAAAGGTTACAAGCATGGCTTGAAATCCTGTAGGGTCAGGGCGGGGGCGGACCCTCGGGCCCCTGCAAGCCAGAAATTTTGGGGGGTCCGGGGAGTCTAAGGGCCCTTTGAGAGGCTTTTATTCAGTCCACGTGGCTCGAAGAAAAGTGAGCGTGTTGAATGAGAAACACTCAAAAATAATTTATGTCGAAGAATAAAAGTACATACGGTAACAAACGTCTCCCTCTAGATGCTCAGCACACCCCATGTGGCAACACGGGTTCTTTTGACCATTCGGTGTTTTTTTCCGGCCACCAGGGGTACACTGCCTTTATAGCTACTTAGGGATCTCTGGCCTTTCAAATTCCCTTCGGAACACTAAAGGGACCTCGGGACTAACCAAAGGTTCTTTGGCCGCTCGGGGCCGCATGGCCTGCTCGGGGCCCTGTATGTTAAGGGCCCCCTGGCCGCTCATGAGCCTTTGAAGTTACTCAGGGCCTTTGGGCCACAAATGGCGTTCTCCTCTGACTGCTCAGGGAGATAGGGACAAAACTCCAAATGTCAGACGGCATCTGCGTTGACCAGGGCTCCCTGAAAATAAAAGGTGACATGAAAGGGACTACAGTGAGTGACCGTTTCCCAAGCGGGGACAAGGCCAGGGTCTGCGATTTACATTGGTCGGTGGCCCTAGCTCAAAAAGGGACCTCTTTGTCGGTCCGGTGCCCAGAGTGCCTGATAGAGGGTCCTGCGTTGGCGATTTGGTCCTGTGTTGGCCCCGAGTCCATCAGCGTAAGTTTTCGAGGGGATCCGACGACGGGTCCGGAGGGCCCTTCCGGACCAACGATTGGGACCGAGTTGGCCCGAGGCAGTGTTCAAAGGTCCCAAAGGACTAGCCGAAGGTTGTATTAAAGGGGCGGGTCCCTAGCACCGGACCCTCAGATGCCATTCAGAGGGCCCTTTGTGCCAATCGGATGTCCTCTGAGTCGATGAGGGTATCCTTATCGGCCAGGTACCAGCCGTACCAAACAGTCAGAGCCAAGCAAAAATCAGATCCAAACGGTTGGCCTGAGCCCTCGGGGCCCATTTTACAAGTATGGACGAGGCAGGTACCCGATCTTTGCATTGGTTGAAACTCCTGAAACAATGAGGGGTACCCGCGCAGGTCAGGGCCCACAGCGTCCAATAGAGGCTCTTGTGTCTGCAAGCAGCCCCGAGTCTGGCCGTGTGGCTGGCCGAGTCAGCTGTGGGCTGTGGGCCCACAGCGTCCAATAGGGGCTGCTGTGCCTGCAAGCAGCCCCGAGTCTGGCCGTGTGGCTGGCCGAGTCAGCTGTGGGCTGTGGGCTGTGGGCCCACAGCGTCCAATAGGGGCTGCCGTGCCTGCAAGCAGCCCCGGGTATGACCGTGGAATATTTGCTTAACGGGCCATGGACGGAACTCCGAATGCCAGAGGGCTTCACGCGTTGGTTGGGGCCTCTCATATTAAAATGGAAAAAGAATAAGAGAGCTTTTGATGGGAGTTCACAATGAGGCAATGAAAGGGCCAGTAAGGGACCAGTAAGGGGCCAGTAAGGGGCCATTTACGAACGGACCCTTAACATCCCTCCAGCTGGGGGAGCCGAACTTAGGCCGACCAGAAGCCTGATTGCCAATAATTGAACCCTGCGTGGCGATAATAGATCTCTTTACAGTAATTAAGACCTCTGGGTCGATCCGGGCCAACTTCCCAGGTCAGAGGGCCTTCCGCGTCAGTGGGGTGACCAGTGCATGATGTATTCCTTCAAAGGCATCCGAATAATCAGGCTACCCCTCCCGTGCCGCCAGAAGAGTAGCCGGTAGGCACCCCGTGCTGGGACATAACCGCCCTTCATCCCCTGACCGAGAAAGGCATTGCGCCCCGTGTGCTACCCGTGGGAGCCCCTTTCCGAGGGTCTCCTCAGCGGCAAATGGGGTGGGTAGGAATGAAAGTCAAAAATAAAAAGGCCAACTCTTGCTTGCCTCATGATGTCCATCCTGTTGCAGAATCGACAAGCACACTGACGGTCGGGTTCACAACTGTCCTCAGACCGAGCGGCACTGGCCGCCCCGCAGCTGACATCGGGCGGCGGGCGTTGGACGCGCCAGACCCACACTCGTCAAATAATGATCTCGGAAGTGTTTCACAATCAGTTCTTTCCATTCAAAGAATGGGCAAGGTATTTTACCTCTAAGATTTTGGGCTTGGTCTTCAAACAATTTGATGGTTGCAGCAACACAGAAGATTTTACCATTACTTTTTCGGTTCAACCACCAGAGTAGCGCCAGTTCGCGGTGCTTTAAAGGGAGTGTGTCTAACGTTTTCGGTTTTTCAATACACGCCTAAAATGATTTTGGCAATTATCTATGGTTAATTTTGGTTGCTGAATGTGTATTTGGGCTTTGGAACAGTTTTAATAGATTTATTTTTATCGATCCCGTCATGGCTGTGAGTGAACAAATGCAATCCTAAGAGATACACCAATCAGCGGGCAGGAAAGAACGACTGCCTGGTTTATATACGGCGAGTAACTGCGCGCTAGAGACATGGCCATTGCTTTGGTTATTAAGCAACGTAAAACAACCGCATTTTTCTAGAGCCTGGTGCAGCCGATTGACATGACATAATACTTGTTCCTCATCTCAGTATATAGAAGGCAGACATGAACTGGTGTGTATCATCTGACCAGCTTTACCACATGTCTAAACCCATACACTCGCAACCCTCAGCTGAATGCAAAAAAATCAGCATTATGACCGCCGCCATTGCCGCATTCGCAAGCTACTGTCAGCGCTAGCAAGCGACATCCACGAAAAGCCGTAGGCTAGAGCTAACGATGCCTTCTCAATGATGTTGATGTGTTTAGTACTGAATATTGCTTGGGGGCTATCCGATAACTTACTTCTTCCATACAAGCCAAAGAAAATTTGGGGGCCGTAGCAATATCTCGTCAGTGGGGGCGAATTTAAAGAAACCGATCGCGCAAAAATTTGTGAATCGAAATTTCCTACCACCCTACGTGCACAGTCAATAATCCTAACTTGACTAGACAGACTCCCTTCAAGTGGTAATCTGTTCCTATCATCTATCTAAACATCGCACATGCGAAATAGATACACAGCCTTAACATTCCAATCGGTGTTCTACAGCGTTCGAAGGTGGCTTTTCAGGCTCACCATTTACTTCGTTCATCTGGTGGCCGCCGCCTAGTGTTAACCGTGCGCCCACCCGCGCATCATACGGAGACTACAACGCCGGGCGTCGTTCCTTTTTGTTTCCGAGGCTTGCGAGTGTGTATATTCATAACTAACCTGCATGACGTTCTCACTTCTCATGTCTGAACACAGTTTGAACATCTTCAGAGTATAGCCCGTCTATGGCAAGTTTTAATGTTCTGTGAACAGCTATGAGTGCATGGCGACGGCGAATGATGTGTGGCAATTATCACAAGAAAGCTGACGACCGTTTTGTTCAAACTTGGTCGGCTATTTTGATTGCGCTGGTGTAAGGGTGGCTCTGCTCTTCCAACTTTCAAGACTGGATGTTAAGAGGGGAAGAACTATTTTCGGCTGTAGTACGTACTGAAATGTGATGAATGAATTCAATTAAATCCTTATCCTTTTGCGATCGGTTTGGAGTTTGAATTTAACACCGATGAGCTGTAATATTTAACCAGGGTGAAAGTGTTGATTGCAGATGAGGAAACAACACTGACAGATCAAGAAAAGAAAACAACTGACGGCAGTCACGCTGCTAAAGGGCAGCTATCACCAAACCAGTAGTGCAGACTAACTTTGGTCAGTCATACATGATAGTGGTGGCCGCCCTCATCGTCACTCA